AGGTATTTTAATTGAAGAGAAAAGGACAAAGATGAAAAGCAGATCCCTTATTCTGGTCACAGAGGCTTTAAAAGAATAAAAGAAGGGGTAAAACTCATTTTRTGGTTCTTTAAGTTGAAATTTTGTCTTGTATGATGTTCTTTTACACCTTTACTTTGTTTATGTAATATGATATGGTCAGGGCTGTAATTGGGTTGGATCCAGTTTCATCCGAATCTGATCAGATTATTGAAACTTCAAACTCGAATCCGCATTGTCTTTAAAATAAAGAGAACTAAAAAAGTTTTAAAAAATTAATTAATTTTTTAACTTATACATCTATATAGATATTAAATTTATATAGATATCAARTATTAAATTTATTAATTATAACTTTATATCCAAATCCYGAAATAATTCAATTGAATGCCGGACTTTTGCAGTACATTGACAGTCCTAGATATGGTTTATCTGCAGTACACTTCAAATTATTACACCTTCTATGAAAAAAAAAGTGAGGCACAAAGCCATCCTCAAAAGTGCCTTATCGCCTAGGCATCATCATTTTTAGTAACCCATCTAGGCATTGCCTCAAGGCCCTTGAAAACTATGCGTTAATGCTGCTATTTACAATTTAATATGGCATTTGTTTCTTGTTGTTTTACATGCTTTTTATCGTTTGTATTTCCAGACCTATTAGAAGGCTCTCTCTGTTTTCTAACGCAGGCACATTGTACTTTGCATATAGTTTGGAATCCTTTGAAGTTTGAAGTGATAATGTATATGCAATTCTTGTACAATAGCTTGAATAAATGAGAAATGAAAAATGGATATAAGATTCATTTGAAAGATTGCTGTAGCAGTCCTAGGTCTAGTACGAAATCAGTTCAAGAAAAGAAAAAGAAAAGAAAGAAAAACAGAAGAGGAGAAGAAGAAGAAAAAGAGAAGAGAAGAAGAAATGAGTGAAAGAAAGAGCAGAATGAATTGGTTCTGTCGCCCCCTTCATCGGCTTTTATATGACTTGATAAAAAAAAGATGGTACAATGACAAAAATACCCCTGTTGACTGTGACCGAGAGAAAAAAACACAAAAAGCAGCCTGAAACAATACTGAATAAAGATGGGGAAACAAGTAAGTATCCCTGTCTACATCTCTACAGTTAGGATGAAATGGTTATTATTTTTAATAACTGTTGAATATAGAGTTAAACCAGCTCAAGAAGCAAAATATTCCCTCTCATAGGCATTCTATACTTGAATGGGATATGCTGGTTGTATTTTAGAGATTCATGCTTATGTTGCTTGTTTTGTTTAATTCTTTTTTGTCAATGCTTCAGATTAAAGGCCATTACCCAGTGATGGTCCCTGCTTTCCAGGATTCAAGCTTCAGATTATATTGCTGCTTTTATTTATTTGCACGAAGTGGTTGCCCTCAGACTCAAACTTGCATTCTCATGCCTGTCATCCCAATGTTTCACCACAGCACCAAGAAAATGGTAAAAAATGCCAGGCTGTCAAGCATGAGAACACTGGTTCAAATGTGAGAATGGCCATTTTGTGCTAATATACTGTAGTTTAGATTTAGGTCCATACCCACTTCATCCCTCCCAAGAATCCAGATATCTGGGAATGCCTTTTGGCTTTAGATTGRCCTTATATTCTAAAATTYTGATATCAGTGAACATTTGCTTTACATTACTTCAAGGTTCTTGCCCCGGTACTGATTCTTAGAGACATTCAGGAAGATCATTGATCTGTTCACTTCTTTACAGGTGAAACAAATGGTAGTAGCTACACTTGCTGAATCTGGAATGAATCTTTCAGATGATGTTATAGAAAGTATTATTGACAAGGTGCTTGTGTGACTCAGTTTGCTCTCATTTGTTGTTTCCTTTATATACATTTTCTTGATCACCTTCTGCAAACCTTTTAGCTTGTGTGCCTTTCTGGGTCTTTTCTTTTTCTMTGTGCTCCTTGACAAATATTTTKTTCTAGTCATATAAATGGCAATATAATTATTTTCTTCACCTTTCTAGTCTTTATGAGGTCCAGTCTGGACTCTCAAACTGATGACTAGTTGTAAGCTGTTGTTACAAATAATTGTTGCATCTATTGAAAGTGAGATATGCAATTGCCTTTCATGGATATGGTAATTTATCATAAACTGAACTTTAACACATGATGAACTTTATTGTGCACTGAATACTTGAGAAAGAGAAAATGAAATCTATAAACTTGTAAAGATGAGAGAGAAAAATT